GCTCTCTACAACTACCTGAAAGGAGGTTGTAGCGAGGTGGGTGTCGGTCTCTTCTCCCAAGTAACAGGTGATAGGATGAGAGGAAATGGCCTCAAGTTGCACCAGGGGAGGTTTAGATTGGATATTAGGCAAAATTTCTTCACGGAAAGGGTTGTCAAGCATTGGAACAGGCTGCCCAGGGAAGTGGTTGAGTCAACATCCCTGGAGGTATTTAAAATACATGTAGATGTGGTGTTTAGGGACATGGTTTAGTGGTGGACTTGGCAATGTTAGGTTAACGGTTGGGGCCTTGATGCTTAAAGGTCTTTTTCAACCTAAACAATTCTATGATTCTATGAAAATCATGTTAGTTCTTCAATATTTTGTCATACTTATCCATACAACTACAAATTCTACAGTTTCCAAAATACCAAAGTTGGACTACCTGTTCTGCAATTCACTGCACGCTCACTTGCATCTTTTTTAAAAACTTATGTCACATTTGTCACTTCTTATTACTCTGGTACAGAGACCAGTCTAACTGATGCATCACAGTGGAAAGCTTAACGTTTTTCTTCTTGAGACAGCTAAGAGCTCTTGCATGCATACTAAACAGTCCTGGCAATTTGTTGTTACTTGCTCTTTGATTTTTTTTTCTAAAAACTTTTCTATTGTTAGTTCAACTTGAAATAGTTGCTCAGGCTCAACCACTGCAAAGGAAGTACACATGTAATGGATTGAGCACTTCTTTTACACTTTGAACATCTACTGGCCCCTCAGGCTCTCAGGCAGGTTTCTGATGTCATTGAAAAAGACTATATTATTATATGTTATGACTTCTGCAAGTTTTTTTTCCTCAAAGTTGTCCTTGTCCTTTCTTATTACAGTTTTAGATTTAATATTGTAGGGTTGTTCTTTTTGGTGGGCGGTGTTCCCTGATTTGATCATGACTTCCATTTTCTGAAGTTTTTCCTCATAATTCTAATTTACTTTGACATGTAAATATGTGTTGTGGTTTAACCCCAGCTGGCAACTAAGCACCATGCAGCCACTCGCTCACTCCGCCCCCCAGCGGGATGGGGGGGAAGAGAATTGGAAGGGTAAAAGTGAGAAAACTCGTGGGTTGAGGTAAAGAGAGTTTAATAGTCAAAGCAAAAGCCACGCACGCAAGCAAAGCAAAACAAGGAATTAATTCACTACTTCCCATCGGCAGGCAGGTGTTCAGCCATCTCCAGGAAAGCAGGGCTCCATCACGGGTAACGGTTACTTGGGAAGACAAACGCCATTACCCCTAACATCCCCCCCTTCCTTCTTCCTCCCCCAGCTGTATATGTTGAGCATGACATCATATGGTATGGAATATCCCTTTGGTCAGCTGGGATCAGCTGTCCCAGCTGTGTCCCCTCTCAACTTCTTGTGCACCCCCAGCCTACTTGTTGGTGGGGTGGGGTGAGAAGCAGAAAAGGCCTTGACTCTGTGTCAGCACTGCTCAGCAGTAACTAAAACATCACTGTATCATCAATACTGTTTTGAGCACAAATCCAAAACATAGCCCTATACTAGCCACTATGAAGAAAATTAACTCTACCCCAGCCAAAACCAGCATATTCTCCACCCCTCATTCCATACCATTTATGTCATGCTCAGGTCCTACGCTATCCAATACATCCTCATTAACCACCACCCCATGTGAAATGTCTGTAAAATGTCCAGAAATGTCCACAAAATGTCCACTGAGTTCATTTAGTCCATGGCTTTGGGCTCCATCTGTTATGGTGGTCACTCAGGACAGGAGAGGTGGTGTGTTGCGCGGAGTTACTGAGCACCAAAGCCAGCTCAGGTCGGGTCACTGATCTGGTTATGTCAGAAAAGTGTTTGTGACCTAGCAAGATCTGCAGTGCCTCTAGATTAATATAAATTACAAAGATCTGTAAGAATCTGTAGAAAAGTACCCTCTGTCAAGGTTCGCTATGGATCCAGTGATGTAGTCAAAGACAAATGAAAACAAATTGAGTACATCTAGTTTTCAGTCTGGGAAATACTAAGTTTATTCTTCCTTATTGCCCGATTTGAATGCCACACGAGTTTTTCTTCACTGTGATTTTAATTTGGAAGTGGTTCCTCTATAAAAAGCTGATAGCTTCTAAGCACTTTTCTTGTTTTCCTGTCATAATCTATTAAAAAAAGTATGATCTAGACGGCCCGTATTTTGTTTATGGAATAACAGGAACCACAGCTTAAAACACATGCCAAGACTGGTAACATAGCTATTAGAGGGAGTCAAGAGACAGCTTTTTAGAAGACAGATGAGAGACACACACAAAGCTACACACTTGATAGAGTAGAAGCAGCACACTGTCTGTACCTTTGAAATAAACATCTCTGTATCAAAGAAATGCCCAACCTTCTCAAAAAGTTCTCCTCCTAACAGAGATAACCTACTATGTGCTGAACTGGGATTCACTGCTCAGGCCAAAGGCAGAGGGCTTTCTGAAGCTCATTACTGGCAGTACCATGCTGATCTAATGTATATGAGCAGTATATTAATAACTGTTTGTTGACACTGGTCAAAAAACCCTGCTTGAACCATACTTAAGTCTGAATTACAGAAATAAAATAGCAAAATTAGAAACTTTTTAATTTCATGTTTATTCATTGTTGTTCTTCTACTGTAGTACATTTGTCTGCATATTTCAAGGCTGTACAAAGACTGGTGTTAATGCTTAATATCTATTAACAGACTAACCCATTTTAGTCAATAATTTACCCCTCCTGCAACCAGAGATCAGATATATACCATGAACATGAGCAAAGAAATAAAATAATGATAGATGTTGTGAAAAATAGAAGAAAAAATAGGTAGGAAAGTAAACAAGAAAAAATAAATAAGCATGTGCATTATGAATGTGACTTAGTATTGTGTACTTTAATAGTGAAAACAGATCTTTATAATATCGTGGCTATACTAACCATGAAGCGGATGAGAAATAGAGTACCAATGTTGTATTACTGGACAGTCTGGGAACAGAAGGGGTTATGTCAAGAGACACGGTAAGTGTCACTGGTGGGGTATAGGTGTTACTAGTAGGGTGCTTGATCCTACAAACAATACTGGAATGGTGCTTACTACCATGGGTAATCTCCCAGGGCCAGACGGTAATGGTACAGGTACTGGCACCAGGGGGAGATGGCTTGTGTTTCCTGCTGCTTGGGGGCTTCTAGAAGCTGGTTTAGGTGCAGGCACAGGCTAGAAGTAGTCTTCTGGCTGCTCTGAGCTGTGTATCTGATTCACAAAGGTTGGCTCCAGGGCACTGAACTGCAGAGATCTGATCTACCTCTTCTTTTCTTAGACCCAATTCTTAGACCCTCTAACGTTTGCCCTGGAATGAGTCTGGGCTGTAAACTCTCACAGAAACAGTGGGCAGGCCAGTATATATCTGCAGGGGAAAAACACACCTTCTTTGTGACCCCTTTGCAGCAGCCTAGCTGGGACAACAGCTGAAAGGCAAGGATGTAATAGACTCACTGGACAACAATGGTACTATGCAAGGTAGTAAGCATTATGCATGTTAAGATCTATGCTAGATATAAACTTCATGTTGGTAGGAAAATGGGCACAAGTAGTGAAGTGCCATAACTTGTACCCATTTGTCAGTCAACACAAAAAAAAGGTGAGAAGGCAGCCGTGAAGGAAGAAGCAGGCTTACACAACCCTCTCCACCCACATGCTCCTCATCTTCCCTGCTAGAAGATGTATCTATGCTGTCAGTATCACACAGGCCTATTTTGTCCCAGATCTAATGACAGTTCTGCCTGAATGCAACCTTCTTTAAAAAAAAAAAAAACAAAAAAAAAACCAAGGCCCAAACAAACATGCAACTATGACAACTTAAATTGCTAAAGAGTCTCATCTACAAAAAACAGTGAATAACATCAGTTAAGAGGCAGAGAGCCCTCTGTAGCCATGCCATACTCATCAGGTCAAACACTTGATTTAACAGTAGTGATCACCGCATACCTAATATGTACATCAACTTAATCTTTTTTCAGAGGGTTCACAATTTTTCCCATGAAGAGTATATTGCTCTCCATAGTTATGACCATTAGGAAGGGCCTATTGAATGTAATGGTAACCGGAACGGACATAGGCACTATTTCCATGCCTGTGGCAGCTGCTGCTTCGGTGCCAGTCTCATCCACCTTTACCACAGCCTTATGAATAGCCTGTGAAGAAACAGATATGTTACTAGTCAAGGGGGTACAAAACTAGTCACCTAAATAAGAACTTGAGCTAAAAGTACCTGAAGAAGTTATTGGTAAGAAACAAGCATCAGATGGACAGATGTGAATCCACTGCACAAAGACAGCAAAGTTGGAAAAAAAATCAACAAGCTACATGCAGCATAGCTTTCCTAGCCCCAGAGAGGAAAAGTTCATCCCTGGTGGAGGGGCACGTCCCTGCTAGTGAAAATATTTGCTTTGTTTCTTTTCTTATTCCCTGCTCCCACTCGTGCAGATCTGTGGAGCTAGACTAAAGGTTAAGAGAGCAAGATCATATTCATATTTAACTGTCTATGAAAAGTTCATATAGTTGATGAATTAACATGCAGATTAGCACAATGAATAGCATCCTGAAATTATGTTTCCCATTTTCCTTAATGTCTTGGAAAAAATGGGAGCAAAGGAGAAGGGCCAGAAATGGAGGGCTAGAGCAGAGAAACATGTAAGTTTCACCTTGCAAAAGCAAGACGTTCACAGACCCTAATTCACTAACTTCTACCTGAGGTCATGAGGGCAGTTGCTTTTTTCATATTAGACAATGAAATTTGCACTGATTGTCAGCTTTAAACTCTAGGTTTATGGAAGCATGACTTATCTGTAGCTTTTGCCTGGGCCTGGCACTAATGAGAATCATTGCTCATAGGCTTGAAGCAAAATGCTTTTAGTAACTGCATTTTCTTTTCCCCCAAACAGTTTAAAAGCAAGCAGTGTTTTTCCTCTCCCCTCCATAAAACACAAGCAGTGATACGTCCTACAGCTCCCTACTTGCCCACAGGCAGGCTTAAGAAGGTAGACACAAACAGAAGCAGCAATGTAATGACTGTAACAACACACTGCAGGAGGGTACCAAGGTGTGGATAGATGACGATTTGGTCATATCTGTTTTATAAGGTTGCCAAGCACAGATAAAAAAGGCCTCCTGGATTAAAAAATTACAGACTTATAACCTGCTCCAACTCAATTGCACTGACAGCGCAAGTAACATGAGCGAAATACTCTGTATGCCAACAGCCACCTTTTCATGTGAAGCAAAGCCTCTTTACACGAGTTTTGCATTGTGAATAGTTGTAAAGAAAGTGATGTAAGTATCAGTAACCATGGGCCCATAAATCAAAAAACAGTATGACTTACCTGGGAAATTCTGTGCTGGGGCTGCCCAGTGATCCCAGACAGGTCAGCCTTATCAGTGAATACATCCATGATGCCCATTTTATATAACATATTTTTTAGGTTATATGTCCCATAAAGAGTGAATTTCGGAAGATACAAATTTGCTGAGCTGCCAGAAACAAAGTGCAAGAATATGGTGAAACTTTTGGTCAGATATCACAGTATAACACAGACCCCTGAGAGACAAACTTATTTTGCTTTCTCCTCAAAGACATTTTGCTTGCAGGCTCTCTCTAGCCTACATGGGACATGTATAGTGACATTAGTCTGGGGAGAAGAAAAGAAGGTTTATAACAATGTTGTAAGGCTGGTTGAGAGGATAGGGTTGTAGGTTGCTGGCTCACCGTCTGCAGTAAGCCAACACATGAACAGTGAGATTGACCCAGCGATCATTTGGCACAACAGTACAGCTGTACCTCCCTAAGGATCTTCATCTGACATTTTCAGAAGTTAGTGATATTTTGTGCATTCTACTGGAAGCACCTTCATCATGCCCCATTACTGAGGATGCAGAGGATTCACTTTGTGAAAAAGTGATTCTTTTAGATGTCTCAAGCTGGGCACAAAAAATCCAACACATCCGAGTTCACTGGTTACTTTTTTTGGGGAAAAAAAAAGTTGGCCTTGTGCGTTTATCATATAAATCAGGACAGAGAAAACAAAAAGATATACCAAAGGAGCAGGACAATTGTGGTGGTGATTGTATGGATGACAAAGTAAAAAACAAAAGCACTTTGACAGAATATAGTTAGTCAATAGATAATTCTTTTTCTATGTCAAATCCAATGTCTGATTTATTCAATTCTTTTTTTGAAAGTGACTAGTTTGCTGCTTTCCATAAATTAATAAAAGCCCCATATTTCTGACTCATTTCTTCCTTGCTTTTTCAGTAAGGATCTAACAATTCCTTTTCAAAGGTTAAAACCAACATTTACAGCAGCATAATGAGACAGAGGTTAGTGATAATGCTGACAGTAGGTACTGTTTTCTGGTGAGAAACCAGGACAACTGTCCAGGGTTCCAGGTCAGGGGGATGTGGAGCACTTAATGAAGCTGGCCAAAGAGCAAGTCATCCAGTGGACAAGTGGGAAGGAAAGGGCTCATACCGCCAGCACAGCATAACATCTAAGTCAAGTCTGGCTGGTACCCCAAAATGAGAGTGCTAGTGGATTGACAACAGGTTGCTGATCTTTTACTTCTGCCTAATTTCTGACTGTGCTGATTGCTCTCTCAAGTGAGGATGCAACTATCATTAAATCATCTGTCTTGCTATTACATAAAGACACTCATTCACAAGACCCCACTTGCTTTCAACATGCAGGAAAGGGAAAGCCATAGACTCACAGCAACAGTGCGAGCAGGCGGGCAGCACTGGGATACACTTTCCAGAAGAGAAAGTGATGTTTTCTCCACAGTTCAGCCATTAAATAGATCTCAGCTGGCAATACTTTGGCATTATCCCCTGTTCAGCAGCCAACAGTAATGAAAAACGTTCCTCACAATGCTTCTGCAACTTGTGTCAACACCAGTTTGTAGACAGAGAAACAGGGACAAACATAGCTTGCCCACAGTCCTTAAATCATTCCATATCCTACATCAAACCCATTTATTAAGACCTCCCAGAGACTCCAAATAATAGCAAAGGGCCATCAGTTGCTTTGAAAACTAGAGGGAAAGGGAGGAGTTTGTGTCATTAGTTTGCAGGAGAGAACTGTCATGATGAAAAATGGGGAGCTGCATGAAACTAGCTCGTCTTTGACAGTGATGATTTTTTAATTATAAGATTTACATCTCCCATTCATGGCTTTTAGGTAGATTATTCCAGTTTGGGGAGGGGGGAGAGGATAGAGGGAGGAAATATAAATAGTGTCTTTCTTGCTGATTTTAAAGGCAATTGTGTTTCTTTCACAAAAATGATTCGTAAGTATCTTGATTCACCATCTTATTTGTCCTACAGTGATTTTAGTCACAAACCACATAGCTACTCCCAGAAGTTTCAAAACTGTGAAAGTGCACAGAGAATTTTTCTTTTTTTTAAATGAAAAAAAATTTTAGATTCTTTTGATAAGATTTAACAGTGCATCAGAGTTGAGAGCATGACACTGATTTTGGTTTTCTCTATTAGGATATCATTTTTGTCTTGAGAATTGATCATCTAAAATACGATTTTCAAATGTGCATGTGTGAAGGTTTTTAACATGACACATCGGATCCATGAATGAACACAAGGGCTTGATTCTGTAAACATGTTGTGCCTATGCTTGTACACATATTTTGTCTCATCAAAGGCTACTACTACATATGACAATAAACGGCAGGAGTCTAAAGTTGTTTTTAGAAAGCATATAAACTTGCTGCCTTCTAGTCACAAAGTTACCTTGAAGCAAGTGTAGCTTATTCCAATTTTGCCTTCCTAAGTCTTCAGAGAGCCTGAATATAGTGGCTCTGCAATGTGCCAGCTGCTCTATACCCTTGTCATGGAGCTTTGTCCTCACAATTGCCAAATGAAAGTTGCTATTTCAGCATTAAATGTGCAATTATTGGTAACTATAATAGGCAGAAAGGAAGCAAGAGACAAGAAAAAAGGCTGAAGGAAAGTGATAGGAATTTACCTGTAAATAGGAGAAGGCAGAAGACCTCCCGAAAAAAAGTGAGAAGAGGTCTTAAGAGAGAAAACTGGGGGCTATGGAGAGTTGAAGATGGGAAACAAAATGCGGAAACGGCAAAAGTCCTAAAGCTGTGAAGGTTTTCACTTCATGCAGTACTGAATGTGAAAACACAGGGACACCAGAAAGCCAGATTTCAACTTCAGTCAGTGGGAATTCTTCTGTAGGTTAAAACAGAACTAAAAATAGTGTCCTGATTCTGTGTCATAGCCCAGCAGATTGAAACTTATGTGTCTCCTTGCCTACCATCTGAACCAAGAACTGCAGAATTTTACCTTTTTGAGACTAATGTCCTCCACCTTGACATACGTTCACAAGACAATCTTTTCTCCAGCTTCCTCATTCTTCCTTGATCAGGCAGAATAAAAAATGCCGAAGCACCTCCTTTGTAATCCATTTGCACCACAGTGGAAGACAGCTGTTCATCATAGCCATGCTTGAACAGGCCCATTCCAAACATCATTGGGACTTCAACAGCCTTGTTCCCATCCACAAAGAATTTGTTCTTTTTAGTGTATTTTGGATCGAAAGGTTTTTCCCATTCAGCTTGAAATATAAGAGACAGAGTAACAGAATATTTTGAGGACATGAAACCATAGGGCATATCACCATAGGACACATTCATAGATGACAGAATCTGGTACAGCTGGTTCAGCTTCAAAGCCAAACCAGTTTGCAATGAGCACTTGATCTTACTGAACACTCAGAATAATTCAATAGCAACACACAGTAGGTAGAGTGTGATGTAAAAACTTCCCTCAGATCTTACAGCAGGCTGCAATATCCTTCATTTAGATGAGATACCAAGTGTTCTAGTGTGCACTTTTCCTCCATGACAACAGTTTTAACAAGCCTATAAAGCCCTCATATGATGCAGCCTTTAAATGACAGCTCAGAAAAAGAAAGATTCTCTCCTTTCCTTATTCCCATAACAAAACAGACTTGTGAAGGGTGACATGAGGGATCAATTCTCCAGAGAAATGAAGGGATTCAGGTTACTTGCAGAGAGAAGGGTTTTATATGCCACTTTAGTTGATGGCCAATAAAGTCATGAAGAACTTAATTCTACCAGACTGCTGAGTTAAAAAACAAAACAAAACAACTTTGTTTTTCTACTGTTATGCTCACAATATTAAATTTCCAAAGGCTCCTCGCTTAGTCATAGTGAAACAAACTGTCTACATTGAAACTCTGGAAGATACTTTTCCTCAGTGGAGAGGAACTTCTAAGCCAAATTCCAGCTATCCACCTCATCTATTTCAGAGGCTGAGCAGATTAAAAATAAGGGGAAAAGTTGGTTTGTTTGTTTTATGGGGGGTGGGGGTTTTTTTTGTTTTTTTTTTTTAAAGAAAGATGTGTTGTTCTGTAGTAAATTTTGCCTTCTAGAACAAAACTAATTTTTTATCAAATTTAATGGGCAAAAGTAGAGCCACAATGCTAAGTAAAATAAGTGCCATCAAGAAAACCATGAAATAAGATGCAACCCCTTTTTACTTCTGATTTCTATTTGAACAATGATTACTAGGCAGTAATGGAACAAATGAAATAATTCTCTTCTGCTTTTTCTTTCTACCATCTGTGAAATAGACATAAACAGCACTTATTTAGTATTTGGAAAGAGTGAAATGAGACTTAGTGCATGTCTTGGGCTCTGAAAATATAAATTGACAACTGTGAATATTCTGAAGATGGGAAAAGTTGCTACTTTTATGTTTCTTCATTAACAGTGACTTCTATCATCAGCTATATAACAGACAGGACTAGTGCCTTGATATGCTTAGGGAAAAAAAAAAGCAGAATGAATCACAGAAACATGAATGACACAAGTCCTGAAACACTCAAGCAACCTTTATCTAGTGCTCAACTCAGGGAAAACACCCACTGATTTCAGAAAGAGCTTTGCTTGATTAAAAACTGAGTAGGATGTTAGGATTTAGCACAGAGATTAGACAGAGATGATATTCACTAATCCTTTCCTCCTGTTTCAGAGGAACTCTTATTCCTATGCTCTCCTCTCTCTTAGGAGGCTACCTTCTAGGGATGGCACCTTTCTCAAATGCTTCACAGTGTTCAAGTGGAAAAATAAACCTCGAAGTATGATACTTTGTGGTGACCAACTCGGCTAGGGCATGATAAGGGACTGGTGTACTGTAGTGGAATAGCATGCCTGCTTGCTGAGAGCCAGGAAAATATTGCCAGACTTTTGTCCTTAGGGAAGGACTTCTACACTACGCTACACCACAAAAAAGGGGGAGGAGAGTCACCAGTACTGTGCAAGGAAGGTTGTAATGCACAGAGAGTGGACAAGAGCCTAGAAGTATAGACTGGTTATAGAGGTACCTGAGCTTTAGAGATCCTCTCCAGATTAATCCCAGACTCTAGATCAAGTAACATTAACCTACTCTCAATTTCAAGATAAAAAGCCTTATTATTGCTATTAATGTTATTCTTTAATCTGTTTTCTTTAAAATTGAAGAGCTAAAACTGAATCTCCACCAGCTTTGGAGGAGCTGGGAAATCATTTCAGTAATAAGAATGAACATCTAATTTTAAATAAAGCTTATTTTTAAAACATGTAAAAGTTATCTGTAATACAAAGTTATCTTTAATACGTTTTGTCCCCATTGTGATACTATATGTATTGCTCCTTCTTCAAAAACCTTTCAGTAAAAGAAAAATCAACAGATTTTTTGCCTGTTTTGAAAGACATGCCTGATGCTAAATAAAAGCCTATCTTGAAAACATTATTTGAGACAAACAAGTATGTGTTAAAGAGAATTAAGAAACATCAATCATCTGTATTCCGAACAGCTCCATTTAGCTGTGGCCAAATCTTCAGAGATTACTACAAGGAGCAGAGACACAGATGAAGAGCAAAACAAAAAAAAATATGGTTTTGAATTACTTTCGGGGGAAGCCTCATATTGGGGAGGAGAGTGGAAGCATCCAGGTTAACAGTTTTAAAAAAGAATAGCATTTCTTTTAAAAGAATAGCATTTCTAATACATCATCTCTGTTTCAATTAAAAAGCTTAATGATATTTTTATCAGATAAATTACAGAATATTATTTTTCTAAGTACAATTGCTTTGTTTTCAGAATACGATAAAATGAGTAAGAGAGAAGGTTTGAAAGAAGACACAATATCTGTTATTAGACCACTGATTGAGCCTTACAGCCTTGCTCCTCTTCTTCTCATTAGATCAGCAGTCTGAAAAGCTCTGGGAAGATCTGTAGACTGTATCTAAACAGACTGCACAAGTTAATTAAGAAAAACAAGCTTATTGTCATTAGGCTTGCATTTGATATTGGTGGGTCCATCTCTTCACTGGAAAATATTAGAATCTGCAAATCAAAAAAAAAAGGTTGAAAACCTATGCCTCTAGACACATCAGGACTGCAGCCATACTATCAGAAAAGGCATAGTTACTAAAAAAAAAAAAAAAAAAAGGAGAACTTGAGTGTGAAACTAAAGCTACTGTTACATGTTTAGCTTTGGTACATGAACATACTCAGTAGCAGCAAAACTATTGAGTAAACATATTTTCTTTTAGGTAAAATGCTAAGTTTTACTTTAACAGTGTTCTTTGAATTTAACTCTGAACTTGTTAAACAAAAAAACAGCTGAAGTGGTTTTCAAATTAATTCCTAGCCAACAAAGCATTTAAGAAAGTGCTTAAATCCCACTACATTGTATAGGACTAGATGCTTTACTGAATAGAGGTGCCTTCCTCAAAGTTTATTTCAATTAATCTTCAGCAGGAAAGAAACATATATATTAAAAGATATAGGAAAATTTGCCATGAATTTTGCTAGGAATTATCATCAGAACATAATTTCCAATAGCTTGCTTTATAATTAAGTGTAAGTAAGTGAGGACCAAAAGGAAAACAAGATATGAGTCCAATTGCAAAACCATATTGCAAAAAAAGGTGATGAAGTGCAAGACTGACCTGAGGAAATAATGTATGAAGTAGGAGAATATGCTATGTATATCTTACCGTTAAAATAAATATAGCTAATAAGGAGAATTTCAGTAAGTGGATCAAGGTTATTTATGAGGTCCTTGATTTTCCCATTGGTTCTTCCTGCTACATATTCGTTGATCTTTATCTGGGCTTGATCGGCCCTCTTGAAGTTCATAGGATAAGCTTCTCCTTCATAGAAGTTTCTGAGATTACTTAAAAATTTCTCTTGTGGCTTCAGTCGGTCAAGCACAAACAGGATATTTCCCATATTCAGCTGTAACCCCTCAGTCTTTCTGTTTACCATTTGCATGAGTTGACGATAACCTTCATGTATTTCATTTTCAGAAATCTCACGTGGGTTAAAGCTAAGGACCCTAAGAATCTGTGTCAAGGTGTCTGATCTGGCACCCAGAGTCAGCATTGCAAAGGCAGTAGAGATGCTCAAAGGAGAGAAGAAAACATTCCCACTGTTTTCACGAGAAGAAATCTCTTTGTAAAAACAACATGCAAACTGACAAACACTGTTCCCTATAGTCTGCTGTGGCATGTTTCGGTTTTCTTGGCCTCTTTGATTTTGGTTTCTTACACCTTGGTGATCAGGCTTATAGCAATAACTGTTGGAATGAATCCCAACAAGTAAAAGACACAGGAAAAACAACATCTTCATGTTTCTATAACTCTGTAAAAGAAGAGAAGAAAAATGACATTTGGCTTACAAATCCTTTTACCTTGTGCTTAGCAATAAGTCAATCCCTTCACTGTACAGAGCTGGCTTGGTACCGGTGATTCCAAGCCATTTGAATTCAGGGATACCTGCTTTCTATTTCAAGGAAGCTGAGTCTGGAAAATTACTCAATCTACTGAAGAAGTTATGAAAGAATAAAAATTAAAGCCAAAGAGGAATGAAGTAATACAAAAGACGCTCTCATTAAGGTTAGGCTACAATTCCTTTGAAACTGCTTTGTTTCCAGTGTTCTGTTTTTAATGTGGCTTTAAGTGATAAAAAGCTGTAAGTCAAAAGTACAGGTCTATAGAGCAGAAAGTAAGGGAGCCAGTCAAGGCTAGTCAGTAAAATTTAGCAAGATGAAAAATCAAAGCAGAAGAAAGGCATAATATTCCTCCATTGTGAGAAGTAAAATATTATACATTTTTCAATGGGCTGTGTGTAAACATATAGGCAGGCACCAGAGAGAAAGTAAACGCACTTGTTAATGAGGAAGTGATGGACCTTTACCATGACTCCATAAAGCTTGAACAATTGAGCACCATTTAAAAAAACCCAAACTTCCACATAACTAACAAAAGAGAGAAACATGCTTTGAGCAATTAGGAAGTTATCAAGACCCTGGAAATACAGTGTTACTTATTAAGAAAGGGAAAATGAGTATGTACACAGAACAGCAAATGGAAACAAGTGTGCCTGCTGCATGCAAAGGCATGTCCAGCCCAGTGGCTGAACCAAATCACCTAAAAAAAAAAATAAAAAAAATACAGGAAACTCTAGAACAATCATGGTATTTATCACCAGAAAGATAGCAAAGGGTGATTTTGACAGAGAAGGCTGCAATGGTAAAATGTGAAGATGAATGAGTGAATTCTGGAGGAACAAAGATACCAAAAGATACCGACAGAACAGGAAAGCCTTTCCCAGAGCAACACGGAAACCGTCCATTCCACATCTGTGGCGATACTTTTAACTCTAGAAATTAATACTGTACCACACTTGGTTCAACAACCTTCGTCAATAGACAGAAGGAAGTAGAGATGTGGAATATCTGGAAATCCAGAACATCCTCCTGTGGTATATGATCACTTTACCTACAGAATCTTTTAGAAAATACAGTACTCTCTACAGGAAAATCTAAGGATTTTCAAAGGGGAAAAATATCTTAGGTTTCTGACTTACAATGAGATATGGTATTCAGACTCTCATGTCCTGTAAAATCATTGAATCCTTATCAGCTCCCACCATGACCCCACATTTGTGTTCTCCAGTTTCCAGCATCTTGGTTCTCCAAAATTCAGGGAACTCAGAATGCTGATCTCTGCTTTAATAATATATGCTATAAATATTCCTTAATTCACACCCTTTGAATATCGTGGTTATAGCAATACTACTATCACTAGGAAGGGCCTGAGCCCCATGACAAACCACTTTCAGACAGTTCACTTTCATATATAGAACACATTTAAATTTCAGCTCTTTGGTTTGTTTGTGACTTGCTCCACCATCGCTCTTACTCTAATACTTTTAGCCTTTACCTCTTTCCATAGTTTCTTTTTTTCCAAACTCTCTAGAAGCTTCGGAGAACAATCCTCAAGTCCCCACTTCCATTTCATTTCATGCCCTACATTTGTTATTATCATCCATTCACTTCATTTAACTCTCTCAAACATTTAGAGATGCAGTTTTCTTAAAGAGTTATGCTATGCAAACATGCCTATCTCACAGAGGACTTATCTTTTTTATGTAAAAAACCAAAACCATAATAAAACAATACAAAAAGCTTTAAATTGCAACTTGAATATGAACATGGTAACTTCTCAATTGATTATTCAGAAACTGTTGTCCTGCATATAACGTTTGACAATTTTTCCACAGAAAAAAAATGCATTACTTACGGTATAGTCAAAAGGGTCCTGTTGTATTCACCAGGTCTGCACAGGTCCTTGCTCAGTTGTTTATGCTGCTGAACACAAAGCAGGGTATCCTCTAGTAAAGGTTAAGATCATCTAAGGGCTGTGACTCACACATTATAATTTTAGAGATTAGGTAGTGCAAACAATGTTGAAACTAGTTTTACTGGACACCTAACTTTGCTGAATATATGTTTCACACGTGACTTTTTATTATTCATAACTATCTGATTGCCCTGGTTAGATTCAAACCAATTTTCCTCAAAATGAACCTACTGTTTCTTAATATCAAACATTCATACACATCTCAGTTGCCTAAATCTACTATTTTATGAACAAGAGAGTCATCAGAAGTAGTAACTACAGAGAAATATCTTGAACATAATTTCCAGTGACTATAGCATTGCTGCCATTAAGGCAGGAGGACAAGGCTTGATGCACTGGGACAATCTGAATTTTTGTGACCTAGCCTGCTTGTCTCCTGCATATCCATCCAGGCATGGATTGTCTCCAGGTGAAGCCAGTGATGATTCTAATAGGTGCAGGGCTTAAAACACTGTTTTGCTACATTAGCAAATGCTGCCGTAAATGTGCCTGACTATCCACTCCCACATGGGGAATCCTCTGGCAGCAAGAGCTGTGATAGCAACTCCTGGGCCACTTGCATGGCCCTGCGCCCGAGGAAGAAGGAATGTGGCTGGGATGCCATCGCACGCAGGTGATCCCAGTTACACGCATGGCCTGGGGACAGGGGGAGGAAGCCTAGGAACATGGGTGTTAAATAAAGCAAGTCTTTAGACCAGCTTACTATCTTGTGATCTGGGATGTGGGGAGCAGGCCCCTCTGATCGTGTGCCAAGTTCCGCTGGGTCAGATCAGACAGCCTGGTATTCTGCGCTCAGCTCTGCTCACTACAATAAACTCCTGCGACTGTTGGGGCAAGCTGGTGGGTGCACAATGACAGAAGCATTGAAGAAGGGAACTCTGGACACCATGTAGTCCAACCACTTGCGCAAAGCAGGGTCAGCTACAGCAAGTTGCTCAGGACGGTGTCCAGTTGGGTTTTGACTTCCTCCAATGAGGTAGACTCCACAATCTCTCTGGGCAACCTGTTTCAGTGTCTGGCGACACTGGCACTAAACCAGGTTTTCTCTACATTTAAATGGAAATTCTTGTATTTTAATTTGTGCTCATTGCCCCTTATCGTGTCACTGGATGCCACTGAGAAGAGGCTATCTCTTTCTTTACTCCTCCCATCAAAAACCAGGTATTTATACACATTGGTAAGATCCCCACAGGCCTTTTCTTCTCTAGGCTAAACAGTTCCAGCTCTCTCAGCCTCTCGTCATACATTAGATGCTGCAATCCCTCAATCACCTTTGTGTCACTTTACTGGAGTCACTCCGGTATGCCCATGTCCTTCTTGCACTGGGGAGCCCAGCACTGGATGTAGCACTCCAGATGCGTACACCAGGGATGAGTAGAGAGGATGGATCACTTGCCTTGACCTGCTGGTGATGCTCTTCTTAATGCAGCTCAAGATGTTGTTGGCTGCGTTTCCTGCACGAGCTTGCTGCTGGCTCATGGTCAACTTGGTGTCCACCAGGAGCCCCAGACCCCCAAGCACTGCATCTCATGTCTCCATTTCTAAAACTAGGATAATATTTTCTCTCATTCTCCTTTCAAAGTGCAAGCATTTTTAGGGAGGGACCAACCCTTACTATACACAAAATAGATGGAGTGCTGATCTCAAGCACAATTGAAATACTAACCACAACAATAACTCAGCAACATTTTCTGGGAGGCAAAGATGCAACCAGTGAAAGTTGTTGATGATTACGACCTATCAAGCGACTCAACAGATTGCAAAAAAACCCTCTTAAACAAGTTGCTTATGAACTAAAGCTTGAGAAATAGAAAGCTTTGGGGCAGTATACTGGAGACACACATAATGTGTTCACGCATAACACTCATCTGAAAGAGTACTTGAGATAATATTTTCACCGCTTCTTGTATAAATAAGAGCCAAGAATCTCACTTAGAGCTAACATTTAATAATGGGCTACAGTTTTCATGGTATATAAAAACTGATTTCTGATGAAGGAAGGAAGGAAGCCCAATTAAATACAGACGCCATGCTAATGACAAGGTGGCGGATGAATGACTAAGCTAGATTTGAACACACCTAGACCACACCTCAGGACACTTGCAGGAGAAAGCCTGCTACTGAACATGGAAAAGCCTTCCCTGTGATTGGCAAGAAAGCAGAAAAAATAAATACAGGATCAATTTATATGAATAATGTGAATCTCTGGACACTAGTATTAAAAAAAGTCCAAATTTGTATTCCATGTCTTTCCAGTGTCAAGCCATGAGAGGAAGGAAAATAAAGGAAAAGGTAGCAGTTCCTGACCCAATTGCATAATTTTTGTATTTGATGAAAAAGCTTCAACAACCATAAACAATCATTTATATCATATCTATAAGCAGAATACTGATTTACAAAGAATTCAGCCATTTTGTTCAATTTTGAAGATTGGGATGTTCCAGAGTAACGTTGCAAGTGTTGAAGATATGATATGGATAGTGAACAGGAAATTCCCTCACCTACACTGGGGACTTTTCTAAAAGTTCCCATGCTCTTAACACAGTTAGCGCTGAATTGTTCGTATGTGCTTAAGCCCCAGCTGGCAAAATTTAGTGTAAATACTTCTGCTTTGAGCAAAGAGGTTGAAAGAGGTTTGTTTATGCAAGGTTCCTCTCTTTGCTATATACAGTAACCACTGGTGGCACGAGTAGGGAATTCTACTGCATAAACAAGGCCCCAGAGCCTCTCCTTAGCCTGTGCTAAACCACAGATACCAGGTGTGTATATACCTTCAAAGAGATGGAAGAATCTCTTAATTTGTTGTCCCATTGAAACTAAAGCACTTCCTCATAACCATAATTAAAAAGGGAGGCAACAGGGACTGGAAAACAAATTTATCTTAAGTTGTACTTTTCTGGAGCTGGCAGTACTTTCTCCTGAAAA